ACACACACACACACACACACACACACACGTTATGGACGATTTTTAGGGTTACATTTCTAGTATCATACATGAATAAATACAGTACGTGTGTTTGTGTGTATATGTATAATATCGTTTGTGTGTTTTTGTAATATCAGCAATAATTATATCGGATATCGGCTGAAATTTTCATATCTGTGCATCCCTAATGTAAAGTGTAAAGTTTCTTCTAATTCTGTCAYGTAAACACACGTCAGTGACCCTGCGAGATGCAAAGATGGCTGAGGCAAAAAAAAAGTGTTAATTGTTGAAATAAGTTTTAAAATGTGATCTTTTTYGTTTGTTTCAGGACACCTGGAGGTTGTGAAGATGCTGGTTTCTCGTGGTGCTGACAAGAGCTGCAAAGATAAGCTGGGTTACACACCTCTCCACGCTGCTGCTGCCAGTGGTCACATTGAAATTGTAAAGTACCTACTGAGGATGGGAGCAGAGGTGAGATAGCTTTTCTTGTTAAAAAAATATATTTTCTGTTATTATAACGAGCCTAAATTCTTGTTGATCATTTGAAGAGGCTGTAGGGTGTTGGATTATGATCTGTTAGTGAGAACACATGCCTTTTTTAAAAACTGTCCTTCCTTTCTAGCTGAAGTGGGATGTTTTGTTTGTGCGTTGCGGTCAGATCGATGAGCCTAATGGCTTTGGGAACACTGCGCTCCATGTTGCTTGCTACATGGGGCAGGAAGCTGTGGCTACAGAACTTGTGAACCACGGAGCTAACGTTAACCAGCCCAACAAGTGTGGCTACACCCCTCTGCACCTGGCTGCCGTCTCCACCAACGGTGCCCTCTGTCTAGAGTTGCTGGTCAACAACGGGGCAGATGTCAACCAGCAGGTATGAAAAAAACCTTCTTTTCTTCTTGATACTTTGAGTTTTGAGGATGAACTCTGAGTAGAGTCTCCAGTAGGAGGTTTTCTCCGACAGAGACATCCATGGAACTGGAAAGATTGTTTACTTGACGTGGTAGTATTAATGTTTTCATTGTGTACACACTGTAAGCAGGGTTCCTGCGGATCCTTAAAAAGTCTTAAAAGGCATTGAATTCATCAATCCAAAAATAAGGCCTTACTTAGTCTTAAAATGTCTTAAATCAATTTTTCTGAAGTCTTAAAAATGTTAATACATTGTAAATAGGATGATTGTAATTCATCTCAAAAATTAAAATAATTGGTAAAATTATTTTTTAAATATTCCCATGCAGACATTCTCCTTTGACCTCACTTCCTGTTATTTCACATGCTGCAACTACCTAAACAACTGTTCATCTGAGCAATGTGAAATTTGTTTTGTAATGCTGTCTTTCCAAAAATACATTCACTTTTCTTAGAAAAAAATAATGTCACAAGCACTTTAAGTTTAAAACTGACTGCTAAGAATGTTTCTGCTATAAACAATTGGTCTTTTAGCAATATTCGAATACTTCAACCAAAAATACTTTGTTTTATGAGTTTCTGCCAGTTTGTATTTTTTTTGTCATTTGTGTTTATTATGAAACTGGTCTTAAATTGAATTACACTTGGCATTAAAAAGTCTTAAAAGGTCTTAAATTTAACTTGCCTTAAACTGTAGGAACCCTGTGTAAGCTTCTGTAAATCTCTTTTAAATGAGTTACCTTTAGAAAACTGAATAACTGAATATTTTGTCTGATGCTTTTTCTAATATTCAATGAGACCATTTGACTGAGTTGGGCCCACTAATATTTATAAATGTCTTTGGACAAGACACAACCCTGAACCTCTGAGTCACATTATTAAACAGACGTTCACATTAGAAGTGGGTTAATTTAGTGTCTTATGAGCTGCTCAAAGGTATTTAACTAAATGTTTATTTAAGGAATGAATAGCATAATTTTTGCTTTTCTTTTTTTCATTACGTATAATA